GTTGCTTAACCTCTCTGAGCTTGCCTCACTTACTATTTCTTCTGCTGGGACACCTAGAGCTCTACTCTATCCCATCCTACCCCTACTTAACTTTTTAATCTCAATTTAAATGTCATTTCTGAAAAAGGAACTCAAATGTCACCTTCTCAAAGAGAGAAGTTTCCTGATCACTCAAGTTGTCTCTCCTTATAAGATTCAAGTGTACCCTTTTCATTTGTAGTATGAAATAGTAATTTTAACTCATACAGTTACTTTCATGCTGATCTAAAGGCAGTGATCCCAATTGTCTCCTCCTCCTGCCACCTACCCCAGCTCCAAGCAGAGACGAGAGGGTCAATAAGCATTTGTCAAGGAAATAAATAGATACTTGAAGATGTGAAGGACCCAGATTGCTGATTTTGCAAAGGGGACATGGAGAGGGCAATGTCAGCTCAATGCCACTTTCTCATGATGGCACTTGAGGTCTGTGGGACCTGAACAGGGCAGATTGGCTCAGAGAACTTTGCCTAAGTGGCTCCTCCCAAGCCAATGTTTTTCCAACTTTCTTGTAGCCTGGGGTGTCCAGTGACTTGTTTATTTAGAGGTCAATGCAGAAATCGAGTCACTTGCCTCTGGAGAGGCACAGGAGATGATTTTTAAAGCTTCATGTATGAGTGAACCTTGGTGTAGCCAACAAGAGCTTCTGGGTTGGGATTCCAGCTGTTGGTCGGGGAATTTGCTCAGCTGTCTGTCAGGATCCAGGAGTTGGAGGAAGGCCCAGTAGGAAAGAAACTGAGTGAAACAAATCAGACATGCTTACCATCTGGAGAGAAAAGACAGGTTCCTACAGAGTCCTGGGTAAAAGTTCAATCAGGGTGGACCAGGAACAGACAGCACTCTCTAGACAGGCAGGGCAAGAAGTCAGCTCTGCCTATGGTGAACTTTAAAGCAAGCATTGAGAGCTCCACCTTTCTCTCTGTTCAGACCTTGCTGAGGGTCACCAGCCTAAGTGATAAATTCTAGCTTTCAGGGAATTTAGGATTAAGTTAATACAGCGATCCAGAGACTTTTCTAGTCTCATGGTCTTTTCATTCTTATTCTTACAGTGGTGCCTCAGTGCATGAACTTAATTCTTTCCACAATTCTGGCCACAAACCAAATTGGTTGTGAACCAAATCAAATTCAATAGTTAGGTTCAGTGTTGACCTTATGGGAAAATTTGGTTTGGTTCACAACCAATTCGTTTTGTGACCAGAATCGTGAAAAGAATTACGTTCATGAACTGAAGTACCACTATATTTAAAAAAACACTACATTGAAAATATTATTGTACATGTCTGGCTATGTAATCCTGTATTTAAATCAATATTTCTTCTCTAAGGATTTTTTTGTGAACAGAAATTGTGAATAGTAAGTCGTATTCCCATAACACAGTGGGCTATTAGATATTTAAAGGAATCCTATAGTAGATTGTTTTATAAAGTGATTTTACAAATCAAATTATCATCCTCCTGCTTGTTCATCTTATAACAGTACTGTGTTTGGGTGGAGGCAGATGTTCTAGAAACTGAACACATCTATAATGACTCTATTCTTAAATTTCACATATGGAGCCACTGTAGTTTAATGACACTGCAGTTTAATGAAAGAATTTAAATGTTTATAAAAAGTTGTACATATTATGTGTGCAAGGATCCTGTTATTAGCCAGACCCTTCTAGTTCTCTGTGGTTTTGGTGTGGTATTACATCAACTCAGTGTTTCCAACCCAGAAATGAATGAATTCCATGTGGACAGAAGGCCTGAACACACTGAGCCCACAACAAGCAAAGCACACTTTGCTAAAGGAAACAGAGTTCCTGATCTTGACAACTTATAAAGTGGAGCAAAGTCAGCTCGTGCCTTGAGCACACACAGTTGGAAAGTAGTGTCCATGTCACTGCCTACATAGTCAATGAAGCCTGGCACAGCCCAGCCTGAGAGACTTGCAGAATGGGACGCAGGGAATGCCATTTGTTGCATTGGGAGGGGGACTCTGAACACCTTCTAGTCCCACATTCTAGCTTATGTTTGAAGTTTCCCTGTCACCATTCCATCAAGCGAACAACTGGGCAGGATGTTAGAAGAGGGTTTGTGGGGTGTGAATCTAAAGTCAGTGCTAACACTGTGCTACATAACCTTGCAGTGTGTCAATTTTCTCATCTGAAAAATGGGAACATGCATGTGTATCTTAAAGACAGAAAGAGCTTAGACAGCACTGGGACATAGGAAATGATCTAGTTGTTAACACTTTTGGTAACACTACCTCTGGCTCTGATTTCCTTTGCATGGAATGAAAAGATCCAATCACATCACAATCTGTGCTGTCTTTAATGGCAGGTTTCTGTACATCAGGATCAAGGCTGCACTGGCATCATGATTCCCAGAAAGGGATGAGAAGGGCAAGGCTTTTGGATAAACAACAGGGCAGTGAATTTGCTGGAGAGACGGCCTTCCTGTAGATTCTATTGCAATGCCCTGGGGAGCCTTTAAGGGTCAATGATTACCAGTTTTGGCTTGAGTTCTGCCAAGCCATCAGAGTTACATTAATGGGGTGGCACGTCACCTGCCCTCCCATATCCAAGTGCTTTCTGGGAAAGCCCTGGGGCCAGAAGGAAGCAGAGCCAGCAGCCTCAGTGACCCTCTTTTTCCATGCCACAGAGCTGTCCTTGGGCACCTGCTGGATCCCTCTCTTTGAGGCTCTTCTTCCTGGAAGTTGGCAAAGACACACCCCCACCTTGTCATCAGGAAAAGCTCACTTGAGGAAGCCCACTCCGAATGAGGACACTGCTACAGGAACTTCCTACCTGGCTCCCCCCGTGGCTACTCCATCTAGAGACTTGAGCAATTCTTGACCTACTCTCATGACTACCCCTGAAACAAGGACAAGGAACAGAAAAGGGACATCTCTCCAGGACTCAGAGCCATACCAGGGCCAGGCAAACTCAGTCCTGTGCCCCCAGACCCACCACCAGAGAGTTAGCGGTGGAGGCTATAGCAGGTCGACTGATGACGCACGTTCACTCATACTTTTCCTGCGTTCTCTTTACCCAATCATGTGTATAATGACCTAGAGAAGGTGAAGTGAAATTCTACTTTATTTCCCTTTTACTTGCCCTTCTGTCATAGTCCAACCAAATCAAGAGAATCTGTTCAGTCTCAAAACGTTATTTCACCTTTCTGAGCTGTGGTTTTTCATAAATTGTTGACCATCCTGGCTTTGTTGTTATGGGAAATAATAAAGTATACACATGTCCACACAAAAACTTGTCACAAATGTTTATGGAAGCATTATTCATCATTACCCAAAGGCAGAAACAACCCATGAATCACTAAGTAAAAAGTGACATACACATACAATGAAATATTATTTCTTCCAGAAAAGGAATGAGAGCTTGATACATGCTGCAGCATGAGTGAACCTTGAAAACATTATACTAAACGAAAAGCCAGGTTTTGTATGACTCCTTTTACCTGAAATGTTTAAAATATCAAATATAGAGAGGAAGAAAGTGAGGTGCTGCCTAGACGGTAAGAGAAGAGGTAGAAGGGTAATGACTGTTATGGATGCCTGGGTCTTTTGGGGTAGTGAAAATGTTCTAATATTGACCGTGGTGGTGGTTGTACATATCTGTGAAGATACACAAGAGAGCACCGATTTACACTTCCAGTGGGTAGATTGTGCTATGGGAATCACATCCCAGTAAAGCTGCAATAGAAGAAATACACATATAACGTGGCTGTCACATTGCAGTGGCTCCACAGCTTCCCTTCCCAGCCCTGCCCAGCTTCCCATTCCTTCAGGACTTTGTTGAGCCTCCAGCTGAACTCAGCATCTCCCTTCCTTAGCAAATGGCTATACCCCCAGAACAGTTACTTTCTCCTTCATGAGAGCTCTGGAGTATACAAAGCATTTTTCTGCTTACCCTCACTCTTACAGAGAAGCCCTGCCAGTGGGGAGCATTCTCCTCTCCAGGATCCCTGTTAGTCCTTCACTGCTGTCCAGATAGAGGTCGGCCAAGGACATGAGACACAGCCATGGGCCCCTCCTACCCTTCCATCCTTCCAGGTCTCCACAGGGACCACAAACCATGCAGTTAGGATTCTGTGCTGGCTTTCTGGGGTGCAGCTTCTCCTTCTCTCAGGGATGGCAGCTGGTCATCAGCTCCCCCAAGCACAGCAGGCCCAGGCTGGGGAGCAGAGTGGGAAGGAGTTCACATAGCCTTGGCCTCCCCACCACAGGCAGTACAACCAGGTGTGCACATGGCTGTCTTCTCTTTTACATTCTGGGTGCTCAATTCAGCTCTTTCCTTCTCTTTTTTCTCAGTGCATCTTATATTTCTATTTTTTTCCTTATCTATAACTCCTGCATTTCTGGAGTCAGCAGCATGAATATTCTAATTCCCATTGAAACTGGCCCCTCTGGAGACTCAAACTACCTCCCAGACAAGCCAGAATCCAACAGGACCATTTAAAGCATTCTCTTGCCCTACATTTCTCCCATCTCATTCTTTCTCTCTGCCTCTCACCCCACACATACCCGAGAGGACGGATGGGATAGGAAGATGACTGGAGGGAAGACCTTGCTGCTTTCTTAAGTGACAGCTGGGTGGAAAGCTGGTGTGCAGTCCAAATTTAGGGACACTCATGAGAGTGATAGAAAACCAGTCACTGAAGTCCCAGAAGATGGCTCCTTTCTCAAAGGTGGGGCTGGATATCCTTAAATACTTCTGGAGCAAGAGCCACCAGCAGAGCAAGCAAGGATGTACCAATCCACCACCCCCATGTCAGCTGTCTACCTTTATACAGTAAAAGCATCCTCACCTGGATTCATACAAAGCATGGTGACCCTCCTGATGACACACCTAGATCAGATTAAATATCACAAGTAGGTGATGGGGGTTTTGGGGAGAGGAGGTGCTGAAGGTGAGCCTTGCCACATAATAAACCCTAATTCCTATGGAAAGAAATGAGGCCAGTCACCTGCAGAGCACGTGTAGGCTCCCCCGTCTTTGCCTGGAAACAGAAGTTGGAGTCAGGCTTGAATTCCTGCTCTGCTACTCACTGGTGCATGACACAGCCAATTTCCCAATGTAATCAGTTAGGGCTGGAAGACAAAAAGAAAGAAAAGTCACTAAGAAACCCGAGGAGAAAATAAAGACCCTGGAGCTCATTTCAAGTTCCTTCCTTCCTCTTCTTCCCTCCTTTTCTTGAAGTGTCTATCTGGCTGCTCTCACCAACCTAAATTGGATACCCTCCAGCACACACTGCTGCTTCCTGACTCATTTTTCTCTCTTCCACACTTCCTGTGACTGGACTTGTTTTCAGCACTGGGTGTTTTTCAACAACATTTGAGGCCTGGAATGTCCCACCTTGCCGAGGCTCCCTGAGAAGACAGGATAGAAAGATGATCTCTAGGAATTGTGAAGGTTGCCAGCTGGCCTTACCAGAGGTCCTGGCACCTGGAGCGTCTGGGTTCCAAAACTGTGATCAGCATTGAGACTGAAGACATCCTTACAACGGGCAGAAAATAGGATTGGCAAAACAAAGAAGTTGAGGTCCAACACAGACCAACAGTTGTGTAGGAGTAAGCTGTAAGGTGATGTAGATCTCTTTGCAAACCCCACAACTTCTGCTTGTTAATAGGCTAAATTACTTCTCTGAATTTTAGTGTTATCTTCCATGAGAATGGAAATAAGAACACCTGTTTCACAATGCTGAGATAGGATTTAGCGTGGGAACGCCCAACAGAGGATCCAGCGGAGGGAAAGCTGAAATATTATGTTCCTTCCTTGTTTAGCAAAGCTGAGGAGCCCTAAGGAAGAGATTAGGGCTGGGGACAGCCAAAGGTTGAGTTGGCATTTGGTGAACATTTTAACTCCCAGGTCTAGATTTAAGCAGGCAGCTGGCTTCCTGCCAGACCCAAGGACAAACAAGAGTGCTCACATATGCTGTGGAAAAAACACAGGGAAGGATGTGCAGTCTTGTTAGGACTTGCCAGGCCTTGGGAGGTCTTCTTTGTCCCTGTCCCTTGGTCCTCGCTGGCTCCCCAAGAAGGTTCTCCCCTCCAGAACATCTGGGAGAAGATAGCAGGCTCTGGGCTGCTTTATAGGGACCTATAACCTGCATCCTCTCATACACAAAGCCCAGAGGGTAAAGACATTGTTTATCTGGCTGCTAGGCACAAATTAACAAAGGAGAAGAAAAGGCTGGGGATCAGAAAGAAAAGATTGCCTGTAAAATGAAGAGATTAGATTAAGCCAGGAAGATATAATTGTGCCAGACCAATTGAATTTCCTCTGAGGTTAGCATGATTGCCTTCAAGACCAGAGCAGCCAGAGCGCAGGGCCTGGTGATTAAGATCTGCCACTATCCTTTCTCTAAAAGCCCTTGGCCAGGTGTGGACCCTATGGCCTCGAGTCTGAGGACGAGAGGTGCATCTCAGCCCTCAAGCTGCTAGACAGAGCAGAGACAGGGAAAGGGAGTTTTTTGGGGGGGGCATACAATATACATGGAGTAGCACATCTGGGCACAGATGTCTTGGGTTGAAGTTCCTACTCTGAAGAAATTTTCTTAGTACCCTCATCTTTTCCTTCTTAGTACCCAATAGAGCTGACTTTATGTGTGTTTTCTTTCATTTGAGTCTTCCTCAGCTCTGTAGATGCCCCAACTTCCCACTCGTTCAAGGGAAACCTTGTTTCAATCCACAGGCATGACTTATCTGCTCTCCCTGCAGAGTATATTCAGGATCAACCTGTCCTCTTCTGTCCATCGCCTTTGTTGTCACCTTCATCTAATCCACCATAATTTCTTCATTGGCCTAGAGAATCTCTCTCTTACTGATCTGTCTGCTATCTGTCTACCCCCCGTGGTATGTATCCCCGCCACAGCAGTGATGAATCACATGGATGAGCTCATGCTGCTGCTTTACTTAAGCCTTTCTAGGCTGCCCCTTGCTCTCATGACCTCAAGACCCAGAGGGACCTAGGTTCAGCCATGCTCCCTGACCCCTCCCCATATCATTTGTTCTTGTTCATTGGCTTCCCACTGACTGCTCTGCAAACTGCCATGCCAGTCCTGCCCTAGTGTTGGGCACTTGCTATTTCTTCCTCAGCACCGCTCTGCCCTGGGTCTTCCTACGGCTGGCTCCTCAGGACTCGTGGCACTGTGGCATGACCTGGGACTCAGCTCCATCATCACCTTCTCTAAGAGCCCCTCAGCATCTGATCTGAGGTAGCACCCCCTGCACCAGTGGTCATTCCATTCTGTCCTAGCTTCTTCCCTTTCTTCTCATTGCCAGATGTCATCTTGTTTGTTTACCTGTTGCTTTACATGTTCACTTATTTATTATCTGTCCCTCTTCTACTAGAAAGCTTTCTCCAGGAAAGCTGCCCATTTTGTTAGCAACACCTGGAAACACAGGAGAGACTCTGCAAACATTTCTGGAATGAGTGATGTTCAGTGGGCTAAGGGTGCCACATGTGTGGGGACCTGTCACTGCTTTATCCCGCCTACTGCCCATTGGGCCGCAGTGGTCTCTCTAACTAGAGAAGATCGTGGGACAAAGGGAAGCTGTTTTACTCAAGGTTGCAGCTGGACTTACCCTTTACTTTGCTCACCTAACTGACAACCAAGCAAACATCCAAGGGTGGGGTGAAAACCACACAGAGTGATTGTAAATGCTGAGGCTGACACGTGGCTGGAAAAGGGAGCCTATTCACAGGCATCAGGTGTACTTATGGTATTTTCCTTCTCCTCTTATTAAGCTCAACTTACATTTTCACACTGTGCAGTGGCACATATACTTCGTGCATTTTGTACTCCATATTATCCTAGAAAACTTATGTTAGAAAAGTGTATTTCTGGCCAGGGATTTAGCTCAGTGGTTTCGTCGCCTGCTGTGCAAGCTGAAGGACCCAAGTTCAATCTCTGGTACAAAAAAAAAAAGTGTATTTCTGACCATTGTTTGCACACCAAAAGATTACATATTTTTAGCATTTGTTAATTTATCAAGAGTTTAGAAGTTTTAAAGAGTGCAAAAGCAGCTGTGCCCAGTGCAAAGGCTTAGAGAAATTGACAAAAATGTGGTTGAAATATAGAGCAAATGGATTGCAAGAAGCTCCTCAGTGACGAGGCAGAAAACATGGGCAAAGAGAGTAGATGGAAGTAAAGCAATGAAACACATACTCTGGACCAAACAGAAGGACCCAGAGAAAATCCTGACTCCCAAGGGAGGTGTGTGGTCCAGAGGTGAGCCCTGGAGTGAAAAACAGACACAAGTGAAGCTTAATAAGTCAACTATGGGGCCGGCTGGGGATCTAACTCAGTGGCACTGTGGCTCCCTCACAGGTGCAAGGTCCTGAGTTCGATCCCCAGTACCCAACAAAACAAAACAAGTCAACTACACATGACCATGTTTCATTGACAGCTCACTTCTCTTAGAATGGCATATGTCTTTCTGGCATATACCTCTCTGGCTGCAATGAGTGAATCCAAGAATGAATGAAAAATTGGAAGGGGTTTTGTACCTTTCAGAGTGGTTTGAAGATGAAATGAAACAAGAGGCAGTAAAGTAACTGGAAAATAATGAATGTTCCAGAAAGTTCACTTGAATCTCATGGTAGTTTTCTTTCTAACCTATAGATAGATCAACAATGAGTAACATTTATGGAACTTACTGTGTCCCAGTCTCTTTGCACAGATAAATGTCTGTTTCACCTACTCCATTGCCTACTACAACTATTCCAACTACTACACAGACAACCATTATGACTATTATTCCTAGTATATAGAGGAAGAAACCAAAGAGCAGAGAAGCTAAATGACTGCTCCAAATTCACAGAGCCAGAAAGTTAGAAATCAGCCTATCAACTGGCCTGATATGTGTCCAATTTGGGTTACTTATTGGATGAAACACATCAAAATGCATCCCTTCCCATATGATTTTCTTTGACACAGACCTGAAGGCTACCAGTATATTGTCTCTAAGATCCTCATGATGGCCAGGCCTCCTCCCACACTTGATTGAAAGCACAGTAGGGGTTTAGTTTACTCTGCAGGATTAGGCTTGAAAAGTTGACACCTTTTGACATGAAATTGCTACAGGGGAATAGAGCAAACCCTTGTTGAATATCTATTATGTACCAGAAACTGATAGTCGTTTTGCAGGAGTTATTTCATTCAGCCTCCTCAGTGCCCTATGAAATAGGTATGTGAGAATTATTTCTCTTTTACTAGGAAGGAAACTGAGATGTACAAAGGTGATTTTTGCTATTGTTTGCAGTCCTGGGATTGAATCCAGGGGTTGTGCATGCTAAGCAGGCTAAGTGGCTGCCACTGAGCTATGCTCCCTACAGAGGTTAAATAGCCCAGAAGAAGCAAAGCTGGGGTAGGAACCAATTCAATGTTCAAACACAAGTTCCCAAAATATCTGGCCCACAGGATGAATAAAACTGGAAGTCTACAGTAGGGGAGGAAAGACTGGCATGTCTAGGGAAAATTCTAGCCATTCCCTTCCTTCCATTCTCTCCTTCCTTCTTTGTTTGGCCTTTCTTTGCTGGTTTCTTCCTTCTTTTCCTACTGTCTATAAACATCCACTGGGAACTGTCACATGCTGAGAAGCCTTCTAATAATTGGGGATACAGTGTTTTCAAGGATCACATTAAGGGAGGTGGGGGAGCTGGACAGATAATAAAAAGTAACCAAATAAAGCAATGAAAGATTGTGATAAGGACTAAGAAAGAAACAGTAGCTATAAAGGGCCTTAAACAGTCTCAGTAAGTAGAAGGGCATTGGGCACCAAGGATGGTGTGATAGCAGCATCAAATGAGCAGGGAAAGGCCCTCACCCAGTAGGAAGCTCACACTCTGCCCCCTCACAAGCCTTCTACCTACAAGGCCTGATTGTTTTAGCAGTTCAGACCACGCAGAGCCCTGACAACCTCTGGGAGGAGGCCCTGTCTAGCCTAGAGTGGACACAAGTCAGACTGCAGTTTCCCGTATGTCAAATGACAATAATAATAGTATCTACCCCTCAAGACCATTGTACAGATTAAATGAAGGTGTGTTTCGGAGAATTCAGGTGGCTGAGTAACACATTATATAAAGG